GGCAGGGGGTTCCTCTGCTCGCCGGGCCAATTCCAGCCTTGGTTCAGCAGGTGGAGGGAGCGGGATCAGACGCAGCTCCGGATCATGGGAAGGTGACCTGGAGGGTCTCCCATGGCCCTCAAGCCCACGGGCTCCTCCCRGCGACCCGCATGCGGCGAGCAAGAAACCCCGCTGCCGGTGCCCTGCTCGAGCGGGGCCGCGGGGCCGTGGCTGCCGGGAGCCCCTCCAGCCGGCAGGGCTCCGGGAGTCACGACGAGCGGGCTCTGCTCCTGGCGATGGCCACTGCCTTGCAAAGAACGTTAGCAAGAAATAGGTGACAGGGATGGGCAGAGGACGTCTGGCTCTCCCCTAAAACCAGGTGTTTGGGCCAGCTGCTTTCACGTTCTTCAGTCCTTTCCTTAAAAGAATACAGACTATGAAATGAAAATTGATCGAAAACCGCATGGTTTCTCTTTAAAGCACCTTGCAATGGAATTAACCTTTCTTTTATGGCTCTGACTGAACTGGGGTCAACTCCTGTTTCTTCTTGCAAGGAAAATATCTCCGTGCTGAATCTGCTATTTCCTTTACCCATGACTGTTGAAAAAAGAGACGAGCCCCTCTGTGAAGCTGCAAATCCCACCCTCCCCGTATCCCTTCCCTGTGTGCAGTGGGGCCAGTCAGGCCCTGGAGCTGGCAGCCTTGTGACCGTGTTGTGCATCTTCACCGTGCGAGACAGGCCTTGGGCGGCCCTGCCAGAGATGGGTGATTAGAGCTAAGGTTCCGGCACCTCTTTTGCTGCCGAACGAGTAGTTCTGCTCCTTGGGCAGGATGGACAAGGGCGAGCGCGGCCGGCATCAGCGCCGCCAGGGAAGCGCTCCTGCCTCTGCCGATCCCCGTGCCCGGCCCGGGAGCTTCATTAGCAGGTCTGAAATTTGTGCTGGCWCTTGGGCAGCAAATAAATAAGTAAAAACAGCGTTGCACGAGGAGCTGATGCTCCCTACCAGGCTGTGGCTCCTGGCACAGGCTGCACCCTGCGGGGCTCATTTCAGACCCCCCCCGACTCGCTGCGCCCCTCGGCTGCCAGRTTTTACCTCATCCCAGTTCTCCTGCTTCGATGGGAACTGCCCTCTGCTTTCCCCATCATGCCTCCAGATGTGCAAAAAGCCGGGGACTCAGGCAGACATCTCCAGAGCATCCGGGGATCTGGGCCTCGCAGCACTTAGTGAATCAAAGCTGATGCACTGACCCGATGGACAAGTCCCCTGGGCTGGGCTGCTGACCTGGGCCGGGCTCAGACCTATTAATCCGAGCAGGGAGTTCTCCTGGGAYGCCTCTCCCAGGCAGGAGTTAGTGGGGAATAAACAGCTCTTTGGGCAGCCTTTTCTTTGCTGGAACTTGGCCTGGCACGGTCACGTTGGCACTGCCGGCTGCTGTGGAGAGGGGACGTGTGTTGGGACAGACCCCCGCRGCACCCGATGCCAACAGGCCTGCGCTGCGGGACCTCCTTGCCCAGGGCCTCATTGCCCAGGACTGCTGGCAGCGCGAGCCCCACACATGTGTCAGGCCAGGAGCGAGCCCCACATATGTGCCAGGCCAGGCATGCAGCCCCACATGTGTGCAAAGCCAGGAGCGAGCCCCACATGTGTGCCAGGACGTGTATGCAGCCCCACAAGTGTGCCAAGCCAGCATGCAGCCCCACACGTGTGCCAGGACATGTGTGCAGCTCCACATGTGTGCCAGGACATGTGTGCAGCTCCACACGTGTGCCAGGTCATGCATGCGGCCCCACACATGTGCCAGGCCAGCGTGCAGCCCCACACGTGTGCCAGGACATGTGTGCAGCCCCACACGTGTGCCAGGCCATACACAAGCCCCACACGTGTGCCAGGTCACGCATGCTGCCCCACACGTGTGCCAGGCCAGGCATGACCCCCTTCCCTGGCTCGCGCTGCGCCCTGCGCCAGGGCTGGAACCGGGCATCTGTTCAGGCTCAGAACAGCCCCTGCTGCGGCTGCTGCCGGCTCCCGCTCCCGCTCCACACGAATTGTCTGCAGCGTAATGCTGGCCTCAATGGGCCCTGATTAGCAGCAAGGGGAGGCGGCTCCAGAGGCCGGCCTTGCAGCCAGCATCACTTTAATGCCTCTCGCATAGAAAGAGGGGGAACAGATCTCCGAGGGTTTTCTGCTGGTGTCTGTGGTATTTATAGCAGAGCAAGAGGTAAAGAGACTGTTTCTTCTTAAGATTATTTCYGAAGGTGTCACTGGAACCACTGGGCTGAGGGCAAAAGTGTCCCGAGTATTTTAGTGTGTGACCTGCGACTCGTGAAAATCATCCTACAAACGCAGCTAGTGCCAAGCTGCAAAAATTAAACCAGCTCTGAAGCCTGGTGTTTGTAAAAGAACTCAGAACCAGGACATTATCACAGAATCACAGAATATTCAAGGTTGGCTTTTTTTCATAATGAAAACTGGATGAAGAGTTAAGTGTCAGATACCTTGCAAGGGTGAAGAGTGACATAAATTTAGTCTGAAAGACAAACATAATATGGATATGGTTGGGCCTCTGCTAGGTGCAGTTGGGGTAGTGCTGGTTGAAGAGGCAGTGAAATAAGCACTGTTTCTAAGCACTAAAATCTTTGCCTTAACTGCAAATGCGCCACTCTGCTGGAGCCTCCTGTTTCTTGCACTAGATTTTGACATCCATGGAGTGCAGATTTAGACCGGGATCAAGTCCTGTCCCGAGSCTGTTTCTGCAAGGTTGCGAGTGATGCATCTTCGTGTGAAACACGAGGTTGTCTTCGGTTGGAGGGGAGCACTGGCATCTGTGCACGTCCYGAGGGCAGTGCCACAGGAGCGGGCATGTGTCGTCAGGCACCGTGTGGAACCCTGTAAATAGGTCCGGATTAACAGAACTGCACGCATGGAAATGGGCATTTCTGAGAGCTTCKGGGCTGCTGTGGAGCAGCAGAGAAGTTAGAGCCCCAGTGCCCAGGCTGTAGGGACAGCCGGGAGTGAGATGCTGCGCTAGGGACAGCGGAGCCTTCTCAGCCTGTGGTTTATCCCTGGCAAAGACAGCAGGAGTCGGGATGGAGAGTGGGGTGATGAGAGCAGGTCAAAGCAGTGAGCTGCCTCTGCTCTGCGGGTGACCAGGGCTTCAGCGGAAGGGRATGGGACAGCCAGGAAACGAGGCTGGTTCTAAAGGGAGAAATATCCCCTGAAACAGACCCTGTTGATACACTAATGCCTCCTTCGAGGGCTTATCTGAGGAGAAACAGGCTTAAAGGGGACGAGTTAGGATTTAAGTGGACTTGTTGTCTCCAGRGAAATTTAAATAACTCCTCAGTGAGTCTTTGGGGTAGGACTCAGCGATGCCACTAATCTCTGCAGGTTTCTCTGAGCACGGGGCAGCTGGGGGACGCAGGGAGAAGGGCAGAGCCTGAGCGGGCGAGCGCCACGGAGAAGGGAGGCAAAAGGCTGCTGCCAGGTTAGGCTGGCCCCGTCCGAAGGMGATGCTGTTTTGCTTGTTCTCCAGCAAGTGCTTTTGGCAGTCTCCATCCGTCCGCCAGCCAGGAGAGCCGGCTCTTGTGGGTATTTCGTGGGCCTTCTCCTGGCAGAAGCGGAGGCRCTGCCCGAGACTCCTGAGCACGTGGCTTTCAGTGCTGCACAGCCGTAACCAGACACGCGTGGGAAGAGCCAGCATGGGCTTTCTGCACCCTCGGACATGCCCCRCAGGGCCATCCCCAGCCCACAGAACTCCTCATGGCCAGGAAAGCTGATACAGGAGAGCCAGTACATGTCCTTGTTAACTAGGGCAGAGAGTTATGGTTTCTTATTTCACATTTTTTTCTCTGTAACCATATTTTTCATTTSTAATCAGGAGCAGAACCTTTCTTTCTGCTGCAATAAATTGTCCCTCCTTTTGCTCTGAGCCTTATCCGGAGGCAGCGATCACGGGGGAATCTCACAGGCCCTGGGGACTTYGCAGAGCAGCAATTTATTGCTCTCCGTCGCGGAGCAATAAATCTCTGAACAGCAGCAAACAAGCCAGGAGTCTGAGTCCCTGCACCCGAGCTGCGCCATAGGAGTCGGGGGATTTCTCCCRAGAAGCAGAGGTCACCGGGATATTGGTCCTGGCGAGTGGACAGTAGAGAGACGTGGTGGGAGGCCTGGGAAGCGCCRCGCTGCAACCGAGCGCCTCCGAGGGCCAGCGGAGGCCGCGTCCCCTCGGCTGCGCACGGCGGCGGCCGCCCCGCTGTGGCACGGGCCATGCTGCGAGCTGAGCAGCACCGCGGGGCMAGGGCAGCTCCGCAGCGAGCGCAGCGCCGCAGCGGGGCACTGCAGGACGCGCGGAGAGCGGCTGCACCCCAGGGACACGTGTACTGGGGAGAGGGGGAAGGCAGGGGCAGCACGGGCCTCCTGTCAGCGCTGCTTCGTGGGACACGGGCAGCATCAGCTGCTCCTGCAGCGCCTGCAGGGCGTTCGTGCTGGCAGGCCTGTGCCCTTGAGGAAATGTCGTTTCTTGTAGAAGGTGCCGTTCCTCGCCAAATACTGCTCTGGCATCCATCCAGTGCCGCTGTATTCCCCCGCTAAGTGACAGGATGGAAATGCAAATCATGAGGCAGAATACAGACTGCAAAATATACACAGCGAAAGCGCATGGGGCAAGAGGGGCACCGCAAAAGGGGAAGAAAACGGGGATCTGCAGTGTCCTCAGTGAGAAAGCCGAGGTGCCGAGCGCTGGTTGGTGAGGGGAGATGCCCGGCTCGTGCGGCAGGGCCTGGCAGCCTGGGCTGCCCCGTGCCTGGGGAATGAGGAGAGGGCTTCCCAGCGCACCAGGCTGCCCAACACACGGGCAGCCCCTTGGCGAGTGCAGCAGAGGTGTTTGCAAAGGCTCGTGTTTCAGAGCGGGGTGGGGTGGGCGGGATGCGCTGTGCTGGAGCAGGCAGGGGTGCTGGGTGGCCAGGGGCACCCAGCCCTCACTGAGCACCCTGCTACCTCGGCCCCTGTCTCTCTGTGCAGTACAAGCAAGTGGAGCAGTACATGTCCTTCCACAAGCTCCCGGCAGACATGCGGCAGCGCATCCACGATTACTACGAGCACCGCTACCAGGGCAAGATGTTCGACGAGGAGAGCATCCTGGGAGAGCTGAGCGAGCCCCTCCGCGAGGTAAGGGGGCATCCAGCGGCATCCGTGGCGGCTTCGGAGATACCATGTTGCAGGCACTGACACTTGTCTGCAGTTCCCTCGCCTTGGTCACAGCAGAAGTCACTGCTGTGGAGCAAAGTCCAGGCCTTTGGCACTGCAGGGCTTCTGCCTGAGCCTTTGACCACTGCATTACAAGTGACATGTGATATCAAGGCCGCCTCCCCAAGGATAAACCAGCCAAGTGTTTGGGATCACTTTGGGAAAGCCGTGGCTTGCTGTCCCGAGCCGGGCAGGCTCCCAGAGCTGCAGAGCACACAGAGGTGCCCATTGCCTGTTCGTCTCATTGGGGACTTAGCACCTCCCAGGCAGCTTCTGGGGGGCATGTGGGCATGAATTTCACTTCCCTTCACACTTGCCAACTCTCTAATCTGCCCTTTTYCTCAATACAACAGAAATTCACATCTCCATCTGACTGAGCTACTCCTCCTCCAGTTATTCCTGTTCTTTTTCCATGTGTGCTTTAAAGCTCCTTTGCCTGCATGGCACTGCAGAGCCCACGCCATTTAGAAACGTCTCCATCCCTTGAGGCAGGGGTGACATGTCACACGAGGGACATTTCACAGGGAGGTGGAGCCTCGACAGCCTGTGCTTCTTTCRCCAGCAGATGGTCCTGGATTGAGGGGTTGGGGCGAAGCTTCACCCTAGTTTCACCCCTGTATTTCCCCTAAGGAAATACAAGGCAGGGCCGCTTGGTTTGGAATGGATTCCCCCAGTGCTGCCAGACGCGAGAGATGCTCCAGACACAGGCCTGCCGTGGCCGATGCCTAGGGATTATTGTGCATGGCAGCTGCTGCCTCTCCGGCAACCTCTGCCCTGTTCCTGCTCTTCGACATGGACAAATGTGGCAGTGATGAGAGAGCAGGAGGAGGCTGAGGAAAGAAGAGGGGAAAAGATCCCATGGGACGAAACRCTGCTATTTTTTTGCTTTGAGACCTCAGCAGTTCTGCTTCCCCCTTGGTGCCTGTTCCAGGTTTACAGGGATGAGGAGCACACTGGGGTCCCTGGCCTCACGCCCAGCCATTGCTCGTACTTTGTACGTGCTCTGGAGCAACAGCAAAGCCCTCGTGCCCAGTTTAAAAGTGCCACTGCAGGAGAGCCCGCAAGAAGCGCCTGCATTTCGTCAAGCCCCTTGTCCCCACACGCTGCCCTGCTCCCCTCTGCCTGGCCACCTCTCAGCCTGCAGGTTGAGCACCTCAAGCTCCCTGCTCTTAGGCTGTGTCCCGTGCATTTGTACCGAGCTCTGTGCTGCTCAGGAAAGTCATCTCTCACTGTACATACCTCAGTATATGCCCCCCAGCAGCTCTCTTCTCTTCCCCCTTCCCCGTGTGCTCCCAGGCACATATCTCTACGGGCGAGGGGAGAGTTGAGGACCTGCTGGGTGTATTTCAGGCCTGGTCGCCAGGGCAGCGCTGCGTGCGAGGGCCGTTCCGCCGCTCGCTGGCACGCGAGGGCAGCCCAGAGCCCAGGGCTGCGTGGCAGCTGCAGGGAGCAGCTTCCTCCCTGGCAAACCCGCCGGCCCAGCGCTCCCCACACAGCAGTCGCCCAGGGCGCCCCGCGCAGGACGAGGGTTGCTGCAGGCGGAGGGACGTGGTGTGCGTGCGGGGCYGGGCTCTCCGGTGCAGCTGTGCGCGGCGTGGAGCTCGCGGGCGCCCGCAGCCGGGCAGCTTTTCCCTTCCCTCTCTAATACAGAGCTCAGGGGGGCATCGTCCCGGGTTGCTAGATGTTGACTGAAGATGTGTGTGTCTCTTCTGCTCTCTGTCCCCCTCCTCCTCCCTGCCTCTCTCTTCCTCTCTGCTCTCTCTTTCTCTCTGTCTGTCTCTCTCTCACTCGCCTGGTGGTCAGGAAATCATAAACTTCAACTGCCGGAAGCTGGTTGCCTCCATGCCCCTCTTTGCCAACGCAGATCCCAACTTTGTGACATCCATGCTGACCAAGCTGCGGTTCGAGGTGTTCCAGCCCGGGGATTACATCATTCGGGAGGGCACCATTGGCAAGAAGATGTACTTCATCCAGCATGGGGTGGTGAGCGTCCTCACCAAAGGCAACAAGGAAACCAAGCTGGCAGATGGCTCCTATTTTGGAGGTGCGTGTTAGTGAGTCACCCCACGTAGTGAGACCTGCTCCTTTTGCTCCTGCATCCCAGGCATAAGAGCGTGGTAGGACATGAGGCTGGTATCTCCATCACCTTCTCCTGCACCCTCTGCCTCTGCTCACCTCACTGCCTTGCTGCTTCCCATGCAGCAGGCTGTGCAAAAGGAAGTGCAAAGCAGAGTAAATAAAAAATAAAAATAAGGGGGGGGGAGTTCATTCCTGGGGGTTCATTCCTTCCTTGCCCCAAGCTAATTGATAGATCTGTGAAGCTGAGAGCTGAAAGGAAAGAAATGGAACAGTCTAAATTCTCCGAACGCTTTTAYGGTGCTGCCTAGTCCCGCTGCCRGGCATCTATCGAGGCGATACTGAGGGAATAGCCCAGGCCGTGACGTCCCTATGGGCAGCKGCAGCAGCCGGAGCAGAGAGACGGGCACGAGGCAGGGAGCGTCGCAAGGCAGGATTGAGCCCAGCGCTCCTGCCGGGCACAGGGGACACCCATGATATTAGAGACACGGTTCCCTTGTAGAAGCTCTTTTCATCAAAACACCAAATGTGGCACAGAAAAGATGAGTGCCACAGTGAGAAAGATGGAGTGCAGGAACCTGCCTTTCCTTTCCTTTGTGCGACCTCTTCTCCATCCCTCACATCCCTGTCACACATTTCCTACAGTCTTGGCTCCGTAACCTGCCTGTTTGCAGAGCTGCTGGCTCTGGGCTTGCAGGGATGTTGCAAGTCCCTAGAAAGTGGGGTTGGTCACTGGGATTTGGAATTCATGGGSGCAGTCAGGATACCCTGACCCTGACTCATGCTTAAAACTGCCCAGCAAACTCAGTGCATTTGTGATCCTGCATGCACTCATGGGCACCACACTGCCATCAGCCTCGATTCCTCAGAAAAGCTGCCTAAACATGCTGTCATCCCTGCAACTGGAGTGTCACTGTCCCCGTGCTTGGAGCAGAGCCAGGGGAGCACCGGGAGCAGCCCTGCTTGAGTGGCACCCACCCGTGGCGTGTTGGGTAACCCGCCCTGTGGAGATTTCCCTGCTGTTTGGGTAGGCAGAATCCCTGCGCGCAGTTGTGTGTAGCAGCCCTCACATCCCTGCTCTTCCTTTCCTGATGCTGCTGCGCGTGGGGCCAGGGTGGGTGTCCAGCGGGCAGCAGGGACACCCCTGGGTGTCCTGCGGCTGGAGGGGAGGCCGGGCGGCGGGTGCYGCTCGTGGGGCCGCGCTCTCGTCTTCCCGCCTGCTCCAGCCGCCTCTCTCCTTGCAGAGATCTGCYTGCTGACGCGCGGGCGGCGCACAGCCAGCGTGCGGGCGGACACCTACTGCCGCCTCTACTCTCTCTCCGTGGACAACTTCAACGAGGTGCTCGAGGAGTACCCCATGATGCGCAGAGCCTTTGAGACGGTGGCRCTGGACAGGCTGGACAGGATTGGTGAGTGCGAAGCGTGCGGCTCCCCTTCCCGCTGCCCTGGGGCTCCATCGCCGGGCCTCATCCTTTCCTCCTTGGCTGGAGCCATGGACTGAAGGAGGCCCTTGCCCATCTTCCAGCATCAGCTCCTTCTAGGAGCACTGTTAGCAAGCAGCTGAATCCACATTCTGCCCTCTCTTACACATAGACACTTCAACCCACTCCTGTGCCCATTTGTTTCCATTTCCAAGAGGCCTTTTTAACAAGTGGAGAGTGCAATCTGAGCTGCAGGGCCGTGCTGGCGAGCCCACTGGCTTCTGAATTTTAGCTGAGAAAGTGCAAATGACCACAGCCTCCCAGGCTCAAGAGAAAACAGGGCACGCGGTGACCCCAAGGCATGCAAGCCAAGCCCAGACTTTGCTGAAACGCTCTCTGGAAGAGATCACACCTCAGTATGAGGGAGTGGCTGTTATTAGAGTGTGGCCTGGGTTTTGCAGGGATCCCAGTGATGCTGTGACTGTGGGGCAAGTAGCAGCAATGGTTTTAGGAGAAAAGTCACGTTGTTGTGGAGCAATCTTCGTCCCTGGTACACTGCTACCATCATGGCTTCTTGTTGGACCACTGTTTCTCTAATCACAGCTGAAAAGCAACTGAAGGAACAGAAAGTGCTGCAGGGAGGGGAAGCACCTGGTCAGCTGTCCAGCAGAGTCCACTATAGATATTCCCAATAGAAATGGGCACTTGGTAGATGGAACRAATAACAGAACTTTCCACACCCCAAAGTAAACACTGGTATCCAAAGACTAGTTCTGGACTGTAGTAACTAAAAGTGACCCGTGCATGATGCTGTCCTGCCTTGTGCTGTGRACCAGCTGAAGAAAACCGGGATGGGACTCTCTGGCATGGCTGGAGCCCTTAACTGGGGTTCACTGACTCGCACGAGGTCACTCAGGAAGTCTTTGCAGGGCTGAGGCCTGAGCGTTTCAGAGGCACAGCACAACTGAGGTTCTTACTATACCTCTCGCAAAGCTGCACTCATTTTCATTGCCTTGCAGAAGCAAAAAGGTCAGAGCAGGCCTGAGCGCGCTGTGGAAGGTGGAGAGGGTGATGGGGTGAGGAGGAAGCAGGCGTCCCAGTGTGGGCTGCGGTGCCTCTGAAGCTTTTCCTGCCGGGAACACTGTGTTCTATGCACCCCACTACCTGCTGCAAACCAGGAAGTCTGATCCCAGGAAAAGGTTAGGGGCTAAACATATATAGTTTGGCCAAGCCCACGCTAACGAGGCCCTCGTGTGAGTGGCAGCAGCGCCGTCACTTAGGTTATCCAAACGAAACGGAACCCGCTGCTAGGGAAGGTAACGTGAGGCACCGCGGGGGAGCCCAGCCTGGCTTTGCAGGCTCCAGTTCCCTGGGGGGAGCCGTGCTCAGGGCCCTGTGCTCCCGGGGCAGCRGTGCAAGCGCCGTTGCCCTTCACCGTGTGCAGCTGCAGAGGCGACCAAGACCCCCAGAACACGTAGCTGCCGGAGCTGAGCTTCCCACACCGCTGCGGACACGGTAAGCGCGGGGCGGCTTCACCTGGGCGAGCCCCACGGCCAGCGTGGTGGCAGTTCCTCCATGAGGCAGCTTGAAGCCACCTCGGCTCTGTCCTGCGCAGCTCCAGCCAGGCCTGTGGAAGCTGTAGCTGCCGTGGAAGAGAAGAGCACAGATGTAGCTCAGATGAGATCCTCGGGTCTGGGTCTGCGCTCCGGAGAGTGGAGCCCGCGGGGAGCGGAGCCCGCGGCGCGCTCGGCACGCGCAGCAGCACAAGCAGTGCTGCTCTCCCCRGCGCACAGAGTGACCACAGCGCAGAGCTCCTCAGGGCTGTGCAGCCGCTCTTGCTCTCCGTGCAAGCCCGGAGCAGCACTGAAAGCCGATGTTACGGCAGGGARTTTAACCTATGTGAGAAATGAGGCACGTGGAGGAAAAGTCAGGCTGCTTGAGATCACGGTGAGTTGATGGCGATACAAAGAATGAACCTGAGGAGCAGTGCAGCTCCTCATCCTGCAAACCACAGCAGTGCTCTCTCTTCACTGCTTCGTCAGACCTGTGTCCGAGCTGTTTTTGTGGTGTTGCCTGAGTTTCCAAGGAGCAACACTCAGACCCTGAGTCAGAGCACTCATCTGGGGCATTTCAGTGCAGACAGCCTTTCTGGCATAGAGCCCTTTTCCATCAGCAGCACGGAGGTGAGCCCAGAAGCCCTACAGAAGCCTTCAGTGCTGCTGTGCAAACCTTCCTTGCTCTGAGGGGAGAAGCTGCTCCTTTCAGCACTGCTTTCTGAAGTGGCATGAACAGCCTCTCCTGCATCTTCCCCTGGGAGAAAATCCGTTCCTCCAGTAAAATCCCTTCCACCGGTATCTGCAAGAGGTCGATATAAGGCCAGAAGGAGCCATGGAGCTGCTGGAATAACAGGTCCTTGGGGTGCTCAGGCCTTGTGCTCCCCGGCTTTGTCACGCTGCTGGCCTGAGATGACAGCAGTCCYAGTGCCTTGCAGAGGGTGCAAAGCTGCAGCATCGTCCCCTGGAAGATCCTAGTGCTGCCCCTGGTCACATCCAGACCTGTGAGGTGGCTACTCTGCCAAATTATCCTCATCCTCCACCATTGCAAAATACCCTGTTGTGCCCAGTGCTCTAGGACTGGGGTTTCCCCAGGGAGCCTAGGAAATTAGGCACATCTTACTGGAAGTGGCCACCCCCTTGGAGAACTCGTCTCCGTAAACACGGCATTCCTTCCCTTGCTGCTGCACCGTGCACCATCTGGAGAGAGCTGAGCAGCAGCGCGCTGCTGTGCGGGGCAGCCACGAGCTGAGGTTTTGAAAGCAGAGGGATTATTACACGGGGCTGAGGATAAGGAATGGAGATGCATGAGAGGCAGGTACGAGCAGAAGCGGGAGCGTATTTGTGGTTCACGATGTGTTCAGCTCACCAGCTGCACGCAAGACGGAGGCCAATGGGCGCCTGTTTGCCAAGCACTCGTGCATTCCCTGTCCGCCTTCTCCGCAGTGGACAGCRCGTCCTTGGGCAGCCCATGCCCCACGCGGCTCGTCACAAGGCTCAGAAGCGCCTACCAGCGCCCGGCTCCAGGAGAGACCCCTTCCAATATTCCAAAGAACTCTGCTCTTGGGAGTAACTGCGGCCTCTAAAGAACGCCCCAGGCTGCAGAAAGTCACACGTTTAACTCTCCCCAGGCTCAGGACCTGAAGATCGCGAGGAAATTAGACTAATATATCACTGATTAAGCCTTCCTCTTTCTCTTGTTCTTGGCCAAACTGAATGATTCTTCTTCATATTAGTATGTTGAAGTGATTCGATCCTTTCTCCAGCGAGTACCTCTTTGTCTGGGGAGCCTTTGTGAGGAGGCCCAGTTTGTGATGTGTCAGTTAGTTACATAAGCCGCACGATTTGGTCCCCTGAGTGGCTCTGAAACTGGCTTTTGGTGACCATTGAAGCTTAAAATTAGATTTTCACAAGTATTTGCACTTGTAAAACACTACCACTCCCATGCTCCATGAAAGTAAATACCCCACAGGTTGTGAATATTATCAAATCAAAGTTCATTGATGCATTCAAAAATATTGGGGGACAGTTATTTGCCATCATTTGTTATGTTGCAATGAATATCACAGATGTCTTCCATACAGCTGCTTACCAGCCATATCAAGGTCACTGGTGAGAGCATATTTTGAAGCTAAAGAAAAAGTTGTTTATTTTTCGTTTTTTTCAGGAATTTAATGCCTTGCATTTCCTTCGGGCACTGCACTTGTTGCTAAAAGGCAAAGCTAGGACCACACAATACCACTCTCTAAATATTAGCCCAACAGTATTTTATTGATAGCATTATTATGCTACAAGAGCATCTGTTYGAGCGCCTGGAGTGGTAGCAGTGGGGAACGCTTTGCTGTGTTGGCAAGCCTCAGTCTGGCTGTTCCTTAGCTTGTTCCCTGGACACCCTCGGCTCACGATGCCACTTCYGCAATTGAAATCCCGTCAGGATTGCACCCCGCTTGCCTCGGTCGTGCCCGATCCCCCGGGACCTGCTGCCTCGTAGCACTCGCTGGCCTAGTGGGAGGTACGTTAGAGGATCTGGGGCCCGTGCCAGCCTCTGCCACAGGCTCCTGTGTCACCTTGTCACRTCTTTGCTCTGTGCTTCAGCCCCTCAGCTTTTCTGCAGGGCAAACAATGCGAGCTGCAGGGGCAGCTCAGTCTGCGAGTGCTTCTTAGCTGCCTAGTCCCTCGTGCCAGGTGCCAAGCAAATTCTTATGAATAAATAAAAGGGATTAAAATGTGTGTATGTAAACCAGTATGTAGTTAGCATAAAGTTTGCCCTGTGCCTGTCCCGCAATCCAAGATTCCTTCGCCTTCCTCAGGAGAATAACCCTAAGAACAGCACAGCACACACGTGGTGAGCGAGCAGATCAGAGCCTAGGGCTACAGGAGCTCTTACTTAAGGCTACTGATACAGACACAGCTAAGTCGAAGATTTGCAAGTGCCAGTGGCTCAGGGTTAACATACAGTGCTCTGATGGGTATTCCTTGGGGGAAAGTTTTGTTTCAGAATCACACTGAAGGCTGCCAGGCAGACTCTCGTTATGCAGGTACGGAGCAGCGGGCAGCAGTGGCTGGCAAGTGACAGCGCAGGTTGCCCCGTGCTGTGACGTCTCTGGTCATGGGAAGAGCCCCCACGTAACTGTTTATGGGGAACATAAGGTTCACCTAGCGCCGTGCGCGCTGACCAGAAGCCTTTTCCCATCATTTCCAGCACTGCGACGCCGACGTCTGAGTCAGCCTTAGCTCCTAGAGCCAGCAGAGCACAGGGCATTTGCAGCGTGTGGCTCGTCCCTGCTGCAGCTGGCGTATAGAATAGCCAGGGGATCCTGCCCTGGAAATGCTGCCTGCCTCAGAAATAGGTAGGAACTTGCACTTAAGCAGGACTCAGGTGTCTAAATTTCCTGTAATTTCCAAGGGTAGGTCCAGACCGAGAGTTCTGTGCGT